ATAAAGTCCCCTTAGGTGTGTGTGAATGTTTGTGTCTGTGTTTTCCCCTGCGATGGACTGGCAACCCTATAGCTACCTCTATTTGCGAAGTAGAGCTTGTGTTAGGATTCCTGTCTGTGTGTTTGTATTTCTGTGTTTGTCTCCCTTCCTCCACCAGGAGGCGCCTGGTTCTGGTCCGCCTCCCCACACACCTGCAGAGGGTTACCTCGTTAACGGAGCGCTCTTAAGCTGCTGACTGCCACTACCTCGACACCAGAGTGTTTGCCAGTTTTGGGTACTCTAGTCAAGCTGAGTTTTGCTGAGTCAAACTGAGTTCTTGTCAACCTGAGTCTTAATCTTGTTTTTTGTCTTTGCCTCTCGGCAGGAAGTCATCCTGCAAACTGGATGTTTCGGACCTTCTCTCCCTGGAAGGATCATCTGAGCTTCAAACTAAGCTGAGGATTTAAACTGGAGGTTTGGATCCTCTTCCCCTTATGAGATCGTTTGAGCTTTACACTGAGCAAGGGATTCATCTCCACTATGACCTGTTCAAGTACCGCAGGAAATCTGAGTGGCAGTCAGCCACTCTGGGTAAACCCAGAATGCAGAGGGCAGGGAGTGAGCCTCTGCAAACCCTGTCCGCCCTGGAACTACCGCACACAGACTGGAGTCAAAGAGTCAACAACTTATCTGGAAACGTGAGTCAACAACCAAATTCTCCTCTTCAAGTTCAAGAACCAAATTTCCTACTGAGCCTGAACTAACCACTGTGTCTTCCCCTCACTTTTCAGCTCCGATTGAGCAGTGTTCAGAGCAACACTTGATTCAGCATTATCTCTTCAATAAACCTGTTAAAGCTTTCCCCTGGTCTCTCTGAATTGGTTTCTCTGCATGTGGATCCGAGCTCTTGATAAAATCATGACAGCTTGAAGCCGAAAAAATATTATAAAAATCTGCAACAAAAAAAAAAAGAAGCAAATCTGAAAAGTAATATTTTTTTTTCTTTTATGAAAAAAACTTTTATACCAAATAATTTTTTTAACAAACCTTTTACAGGTTTAAATTTAGTATTTTGTTATATTTTGTTCTTTTACATTATTTTCCAGGTATACATTTTTACTGAACAAGTTAAACTTTATGGTGCCAATTTTGGTTCTCTGATGTGGGCTTTAATCTATAGGGGTGAATGTGTCCTTGCCTTTACAACTAACTCCAGGAGTTTTCAATACAAAGTGATCTGACATTCGATTCAAAAACACAAATCTAACCGTTTAAATTTGCCACAGTGCTTTTATTTAAACCGGAAAATTAAAGGTCTAGTGTACCTTGTGGCTAAAAGGTATGCAGTGTTGTTTGTCTGTTTGTATTTAAGTTAACAAGACCATGGCACTGGTGTTATAATAATGCACATGAGCACAATAAACAAGTGTGTAAGCTGAGGTGCAAAAAGCAAGAAAAAAAAGGTCAAGATCAAGTGTTAAAAAAGGGGGATGAGACACAATAATTCTGGTAACAGAATTCAAACATGAATGTTTAAGTTGCAGAAGCATTCAGATTTTGCTGCCAAGTTCATGGATGCAAGTACTGTGCACGGGCAAATGTATGCAGCTATCAGTGATAGCAATGCTTTTCTCCAGCTCTTATTTATAGGGATGGAAAAAAATATGTGGCAAGCACTTTTTTATGATAAAATTCTCCAGTTTGGAAATATAAACTGGCAGGAGATGGCAATGGTGTATAACAGTGTTTAGTACCCATTCAAAATTTCCCCACTTTCCTTGATGGTTCCTTGGCTGGCCCTTAGCTAGTCCTTGACTGGTCCCCTGCAATTCTTCTTCCTTTTCAAACATCAGTCTTTATACTAAAATATTCTTTCTGTCACGATTTGTGGACATTAAGATCTAAAGAGAAGTTCCATCTCCTGGTCAGACTCTGTAATTCAGTGAAAGGGTGGAGTCAGAGTCGGACTCCAGAGGCTGGAAGTTAGAGGGGATGTTGGTGGGAGTTCCAGGGAAGTGGGCTGCCAATCAGCTGGCGTTTGACTGGGAGAGGGCCATTTTGAATGCACCCAGTGCAAAAGTTTTTCTATGGCTTAGAAAGAAATAAATACTACCAGGACAAGCGCTTGGTATATATAGTGATATTTGAAAATAAATATATAGTTTTTTCTATACATAAGCTCCACTGCGTCAATATATACAGAAACTCAAATTATATAACAATGACTATATGGTAAGATTACTTTAATGTATAAAGGACCATCTATTATTTCCGGGTGGATCATCAAAATAAGGGGTCATCCTTATTGTCAATCATTCCGCTGATCTGTTTTTGTAACAACATCCTACGTGCTCATCCCGTTAGCTATCTTTTTCTGTGCATGCAAACTTTCAGGCGTATATCTGTGGTAAACTATGGAAAGAAAGGCCTCAGAGGAGGCACATATATCCCGGAATACAGGGGACAAAAAGCAGTGATCATCTGTCCGAATGGTCAGTTAACTGAGATCACTATATAGTCCACTTTTAAGTCTCGGACACAGTAACCTTGTATGAGCTATAAGAACGGCAACATTTAAATAGCGCATGCATGAGGAGAGAAGGGCTCCTGCATGCTCTTGCACACATTTAATAGGCATTCCCTCTCGGGAGCGGGTACAGGGTTGTGCATGTGCATTTTCTTTTTAAAGCGGAGAGGGCAGGTCTTTTTAAAAATGTGAGAAAATCCTCCACAATAACTTTAATATATGCAGATGCTCCATCTCCACTGATTAAGATTCACTCACCTGGACATATTAAGTCTTCTGTCTAAGCAGGTAGCTTCTGTCTAGTAAACATTCTTGCCACACAAATACACAGTAAAATATTTTATGAAAATCAACACAATATACTGTAGTGGCCCTCAACCTTTTTCACACAATGGATTGATTTAATTTCAGGCAATATTTCCACAAACCATTCTATGGTGTATAAAACCGAAAAACAAATCAACTCCATATCAGAAGTAGAATTTGTGATCCTGTCTGTTAAGGCAGCATTCTTTCTTTTTGCGGTCCAAGGCTCCTTTCCTCTCCCTTCACTGGACCGATTCTCCTTCTCCTCATTACCCCTTGTTGCTAGCTTGGGGTTTTTAACTGGGGTGTATAGCAGGAAGTATCACGTGACCTACTGTACAGTATTACTATGACGCACTGTCAACAGTGTGTCATAGACGAATGTAATGAAGAGAATCTGGTCATTTTTAAAAATGATACACCATTCAAACTTGGAAAATTAACCCCTTTTAAAAAATAATGGAAGTTTATTCTTTTATTCTTTTTGTGACAGATGGACTGGTACCAGGGTTAGGGATCAAATATATATATATATATATATATATATATATATATATATAAATATATAAATATATCTGATATAAATATATCTGTAGTTGTAGATGAATATGATATCATTTTTCTATGCTTGGATTAATAAGCGAGATGTTTTAGAAACAGCATGACAGTAACTAATGTGACGGCTTAAGACAAAGGTCTCCTGGGCTTCGGTTAGTTTGAGAACCTCCAATGTGACCTCTATATGCGTCCTCCATCATCTTCATCAGAAGGGCAGGTTTTAACAGTAGTCAGCGTTTTGCTCTGCAGTGTCAAAAAAAATTACTTGATGATGTCTGCTCTGTTATAAACAGTTTCCTAAGATGGCATTAAACTCCTTAAGGTGTTTAGATGGCACACAGCTGTGGTTGGAGCATGAGTCATATCACCAGCATCACAAAAAGATACTGGTGTTAAAAGCTTTCTAAACTCTGACAGGAACAGGAAGGGACATTGGCAGTGTTCATTTTCTGTATTTTTATGTTTGCTTTCAAAGCTACACTGAGATCATAAATCTCACTCCCTGCCCTCTGCACACACCTGGGACTTGTTTGTTCCCTCCCAGCTTCCTGAACTGGATCTGAGTCTGCCTCCTATGTTTTTATGGCTTCTGCTCTGATCTTTTCCTGGTTTGCCGCACATCAGAGTTCAGTTCAACTCATTAACTCAGCCTCCTGCTGCTTCCTCCTTTAGGATGTAATCTGCTTGGGTTGCTTTGCAGTTCAGGACTTTATTGTATCCCCAATAGATAGCGTCTGGATTTCCTGTCCTGTTGGTTCTGTCTTTTCTCACCTGTTAATCAGAAAAAGCAGGACTTCTAGTCTTTCATTCAACTCCTCTGTCTTTCATTGTGATGCTGCAGTAAATCTGTTCTTCTTGTTTAAAAAAAAAAAAAGTTTTTGTTCAGGATCCATACATATATTTGGGGTTAAAGGCAGGGCAATGCAAGTTTATTTGTACAGCACAACTAGACAATTCAAAGAGCTTTAAATGAATTAGATCAAATAAAATAGAATTAAATCATAAAAAAGTAACAGAATATAAAAGGTTTGGGTTCAGAAACAGTAAACAGAACATAAAAACCTGGAAGCGGTTTCCAGTTTAAGAGAACGTGAGTTTCAGGAGGATTTTGATGACTCTCATCAGGGGCTCCTAATTAAAATTGATCAGCGGCTGATTAACCGGTTCGGCCTCAGAAATCAATGGCACTGATGACGCTCTGCAGAGCTCAGAGCAACCGTCGAGCTCTCAGCCAGTTAGCAACAGAAAGACGTGTAAAAACGCTGCAGCCGTAAGAGCGTCACACATTATGAGACACAATAAGAAAAACAGATACGGATCAAATGCCGGTTGGCTTTTCACATTTCATTCCGCCTGATTAATGACCTATTTCAACATGTATTTTCTCTAAAGATGAGTTTCTGCCATCTCCTTTCAACTTTAGAAAGTCATTATATGATGATGGATGAAGAATAATGCCTGTAATATCTGTGTATGAGGTAGAAGCTAAATAATCGCTTCAAAGAACAATCTTTTTCTGTCTGAAACATTAGATCACTGCTAGGTGTTCATTGTGAAAACTGCAGCTAACCCTCAGCTGCCAGTCCGGGATTTTCCAACCCTGCATGTGAATTTCTTGGAAGGGACTCACCGGTGGAGCACGGCCCGTCGTGGACTCTGGAGATGAGTTTCTGCTGTTTGCAGGCGGCCTGCCGTCGGTAGCACTCGTTCTGGTAGGTGTCTCCATTAGAGCCGCACACTGGGATGTAGTTTTTGTGGCACTGCAGGTTAAACACAGCAGTCAAAATGGTCAGAAAGATGACAGTAAAGAGGCTTGGATAATATGAACCCTGGAAACCTGAGCATCATCTAGAATACACTGGATAGTTTCTACATCTATATTAGGTTTTATAAAAAAAAAAAAAAAAACACTCTTAAGTCTTTAAATAAACAGGAAATGCAAATAAAAAAAATAAATCACAGGAACACAAAACCATAAACATGAACATAATACAAAGAATTTAAGCAGGAAAAACCCAAATCTACACAATTTTTTAAGTTGATCCATTTTTTTTCCTAGGGTTTATATTTTATGCAGTCAGTTTATCTTATTGTTCAGATTGTTTATTATTATTGGATGTTTTTGGCAGCTCAGTTTAGTTAGTAATGCCTACATTAAGAACAAGCACAGCTACTGTTTGGGAAACAGCTCTGCTCTAGCCTGTTTCACAGTCAGGATGATGTGCTAGAAAAATAGCTGCTGTTGTTGTGGTTTGTAGAGATCAATAGTATGCATGCATGAAGTAGGCTGCTGCATCATTGTTTCCAAAACTGTCAGTTTGCCTCACCTTCATGACTAAGATGAAAGCGTTTAGACAGAATCCTTATGTTCATAAAAATATTCAGTGTGTATGTGAGAAAGAGAAACACAGCAGAAAAAATTTGTTTTACATTTTATCTCATTGTAGATGTTGGGATTGGAGACAATCCTCAGATTAGTTCCTGCTTCCTGTTTCTGCTCCATAATAGTTTGATTGTATTACTTTTCCCACCTGGTTTCAGTTTACTGGGCCAACCTGCTCCGGATCAGTTTACCTCTCAGATTCTCTTTGTTTTTAGTGATTCTCTCTCAAGTCTTTAGTGTAATAAGGGCAGAATCACGTTTCCCTCACATAAATCTTAAGTTCTGATTTATGTGAGGAAAACATGCAGGGAAAAAATAGCGGGAGACTAACATAGGTGAGCAGCAGGTAAAATTTTAAACATGAAATGAACTTGATTTTCTGCACACTGCAAAAATTATCTAGAAATAAGTAAACAATAATAAGATGATTTTCCAGTGGAAGACGTTTTTTAATTCTAAAATTAGATAATTATATAATATGCATTTGAAATAAAACAATGCAATAGTTTTTTTTCTTATTTTAAATGTAAATTGTTTTGTTCCATTGGGAAAGTGTTCCACTTACCTCCTCAACTCTTTTTTTTTTTCAGTGTCCTGTCTGGCAATGTGGCAATAAGAATAATTGTCTTGATACCAATAAGAGCCCAACAGATTTTACGTCCACAAGTGGAGCAGTAGGGCTATTGCGATAGTGTTCAGTTTGTTTCATGCATAGAAATTGCTTTATTATAATTATGCAGGGAGTTTTACAGATTATATGGACACTGCAATGTAAGTAGAACAGAAGAGGAAAAACACAAAAAAGGAGAAAAGATGAAAGAAAGAGGAGATAAAAGGGAGATAATGATAAAACATTTTCAGTCTGCTTCATCAGCTGCAAAAAGATGTAAAAATGACAGCACAACCAACAGACATGGCACGAGATATACAATAAAGTAACACCTAGATACTATCGCTGAAGTAGTGTTATTCAAACTGACATGTACTCTGTGTTTCCTGAAGATAAGAATATGGGCTTTCTGTATGGAAGTGAATCTCAAGTACCTGGAACCAAACCCCTGTAGAGAATGCATTTATTAAAAAAAAAAAAAATTCTTATTTAGAATAGTTTTTTTTTTTTTTTTTTGCAGTGTGGCATTATGAGAAACTTCCACTGTGTTGAAAATAATGTATTTGAACAGTGACATCATGTTTTGCACTGGAACAACCAGCAGCTGCAGGGAAACATCCAGTAATCCATATTCAATCACCAAGCAGGAATCCCCTACAGGTCTGACCTCTGGCTCACATTACACAGAAACATCAGTGCAATGGAGAGCAACCGCTGACCGAACCGATGAGCTGGGATCAGAATCAGAAGAAAGAGCTCTGATTTTTTTCCAGAGGAGAGGCGAAGCCTTGATCTCTGTTTTTATTAGCTTGCTGTCGGACAGAGGAAATGCTTCTTTTTCATCAGGTGGTAGACAGATCCCTGTCCTTTTCAACAGTAACTTCTCTCAATAATACAGGAGATCGGTCTGATGGAGCGTTTATGTTTGTAATGGTGATCCTGTTAGCAGAAGGAGCTTCTTTAAAACCAAAAGTTGATCTTCAGGGTAAAATTGAACACATTTAACACAAAATATAAAAACAGGTGTGCAAAACCACAGCAATCCAAAGCTCTTATCCTGCAACCTTTAGATGCTTTCCTTCCTCCAGCACATGAATCAATTTCTGGTCCTTCAGTCATGCAGCTCTGCAGAGGCCTGTTTAACGAGTCATTTATCTCATACATGCATGGTGGAGAATGGATGCAGCAGGATAGCAGCTACTGGAGATTAGAGATCAACACACACAACCTTAATAAGGCCGATGCCATACTGACTATTTTCAACCTCAGTCTAGCCGATTCTGGATATGTGCAGCTGAATTATGAAATTATGCTTTCAAATGCATTTGAATATCAGATAAATATAACCTGAATAAATACATAGAGACTTTTTCAAATATACCTCAAATGTGACAATTTTGGTGTAAATATACACATACCACTAAAATCCTACTAAACTCTGACCTTCAGAAATAGGATGCTTCGAAATCCTCTAGAGTACCTGAATAAAAATGGTTCAAAAAAGTGTTTTTGGGCAAATTTCCTTTAAAATTGTGTAAAATATGAAAAAAACTGAGCAATTAGTTAGTATTTTTTTTTTTTACTATGAACAACATTTGAAAACTATTTTCTGCATTTTTTCGTATAATATTTCTCTGATGTTAGAGTAACCAACCGAATAGGTCACTGCAAATGTACAATAAACTATAATTTACATCAGATTTCAACCCATCCATGGAGCAGCTAGGAGCTGTATGGTGAGTAAAATTCAGTTTGTTGCACTGCGGTAAACCGTTTCTATTCCCACCATTTGGTTTCCAAAGATTTATAAATTACAAACCATGAGCAATTATAATGCAGGCGAGGGGAAATGTGCTGTTTTTAACAGCTGATGTAGGACTGATCTGGTAGGCTGGAGACTGAACGTGTTTCAGAAAGTTGTTTGATATCCATTAAACCCACTAAACTACTGAAACTATAAGAGAGGAAGTCTAAATGTGTCTCCTGACATTAGCTGCAATGAAAAAGCTGTAAAAACTGTGCAGTCAGTGATTGTGTTCATGTAATCAAGTTGTCTTTCAATTAAATTATTTCATATACAAAGACTTCAGAATGAAGCAGCATGTAAATGAGGTAGTTTCCTTAAAGGATTTCTTTTATAAGGGTTTACATCTGGGGATTATCTGTTTGATGATTTATAACTAAATAAATGGTTTCTTCTAAATAAAGGGATGTTCTATTTACCTGGAACTGGCAGACACATTTGAGCTGAGCGCCGTCGTCTCGGCAGACGCCTCCGTATCTGCAGGTGGAGTCGTCACAGACCCTCAGGTCGCTCTTCTTCTCTGACAGATCTGCAGCGGGCACACAAACACAAGGCGAGGATTAGACAGGAAGTCAGGGGGGTGGCAGGCCAATCGATAGGGTCAGTCAGACCTGCAGGACCCTTCATGAGCAGCACATGTTTACTCCGGTCGCTCGCTGAATCAGTGTTCATATCGACACATTCTGCAACTAAAAGCCATGTTATTTGGCACAAAGAAAATAGTTTATCTCATTTCATCCACCTGCTGAGGCTTTACAGAGAGCAGGAAACAGGTTCAGTCTAAAAATGAATCCCTTTTCTACTCTAACACACACTGCCTTGGTACAGCATCCCAACCTTTGAACTGTTTTACAGTTTCTTAAGTTATAACCAGAAACCCTCAGAGGATTTGATGTGTTGGACCCAAACAGAAGCAAGTAAAAGAGGCTAAATAGAAATGAACTAAGTTTCCATTAGGAGCTCTTCACAACTCCACTACTTCCTGAACTTAAGGCAGCTCCTTTACTTTCTGTCTTTCATTACTGGATGAACTGATTGATCCAGGTATGCCTGGCCTGAGGTCAGGCAAATTCACACATACTACCAAGTTCCTTACTTGTAGAAACAGGATACCTTAAAATTCTCAAAAGAAGCTAAAATTTAGAACATTTCCTGCTAGGTGCCTTGCACAAAGGCAATTCTGTATGTGGCAGGGGAAACAGGAATCAAACTCCCAATTCACAAACAGCTGACAATTATAGACTACTTTGTGTTCATTGGAAATGGTGACTAATATTCAGCTCACAGTGTGATGAAAATACTTTACAAAAAAACGAGTTTATATTAGAATGGGGAAATGTATGGATACATTGGACTCATTCTGGATTTTAACCTGAAATGCTCTCTTCTTTGAAAGTTCTCTGAGGAACTTTTAAGGGTCTTTTTGGACTTTTACTGCTTCATCACTTTGTTTCTATCCAGTTTCTGACCATTTATATTAATAGAAGCCATTCAACCATGAGAAGTGAGGAGAAAAAAAGTTTCTAAGCTCAAGGGAGAAATGGTTTGACTTTAGGAATGAGACATTTTTTGCTCTTTTAAAGGTTTGTCTGTTTTTAGAAGTTCTTGTGGAAGTCCAGCCTATGTCCATCCCTAATGATGCTCCCCCAAATTATTTAATGTATCAGCCTTGACAATCCTCTAAAGTTTTTGCTTCTGCAACTTTTCTCTCAATCCATTTTCATTCCACCCCACTATCTATGAATATGCTAATACGTTTTATATTATATTAATTATTTCATTCATTCCATCTTTAAAAGGAATTAAAAAGCATAAAAGTGGTTAAGTAAAAAGGTTTTTGATGAGGATATATAATCATTTACCCTTCTAACATTATCATTTTCAAATGGTAGGAAACTTAGGAGCAAAACTCAACAATCAATCATGACACTGATGCTAATTTTAATCTTTAAGCACCAAAGAGCTTCTTGTTAGTTATTCATGACAGGGAAAATGGATGATGCATCCACTAAACTTGATATTCATCAGAGCGTCACTAACGAGCAACATTTCCTAAAATGTCAGCGGGCTCCTTTAAGGTCGGAGTCTGCTGCTGTTTTCCTAAACTCAGAGAAGTTTCTTCTGGAAGTCGCTGCTTATCCTGAATCAGTTCTGCCCTTTAAAGCTTTTTATGAGTAATCAGTTGATAAAATGTCACAATGTGAGACTTGGATGGTCGTTCTCTAATCTGCCCGAGCCGAAGAGCAGATTAGAACCCGACCGAGACACATGCGCAGAGACAGACGCCGCAGGTGGTGGGTGATCTGATAAAACACATGCCATAAAGCGGCAGCTAACTTAAACCACCCACATTTCCTTGAATCTAAAAGCCTCAGATTACAGCCTGCTGCCTAGTTGGCTTTGAGACAACATGTAATGGTTCATGATTATACAGAGCGCCTCCTAAAAATGGCCCCTGAGAATGGAAGTAAAATGGAAAGCAAATGGAAGACTGGCAGAAATCTCCAGCTGATCCAGAAAACTTTCACATTAAAAGAGCAGGAAAATCAAACTCTTGACAGATGTGTCAGAGTTTTACTCCACAATGCTCTGTTTTGGGACCCCTGCTGCTTCTGGAATCTCTGCTCCCTCTTAGGGGCATTCTGTCATCTTCTAAAGACATCTTATTATTGCTATGAGGATGATATTCATTTAGAAATGAAGTTATTAAATCTGAACTCTACTGAAAATGACAACAGCTTGCCGACAGACCCCTTTACTTACCAATAGAAACAAGAACAGATATGCTTGTTTGTAAAAATTAATGTTTAAGACAAAGCCTTCTGAATGTTGGGATGACCTTGGACTGAGATTTTACATCAGATGCTCATGTCAAGTCTCTGCTTGGTTTCTGCTCTTATCCTCTGCCAAACTTTGCTCCTCTGTTTCACGCCTTTAAGTGGAAATATATCTTTATTCCTTTAATTCATCATGCATGAGTTCCTGTAGTACACTTTACAGAAGTTTCAGCTAAACCTGTCTTAAAACAGCTGCAGGTTGTGCAGAACCCTGCTACCAGGCTTCTGACTGAATCCGTTAGTGTCTCACTTGGGATTCAGCTGCTGATGCAACCGCTCTCTGTGTAGAGTGCATTTTAACATTCCTGACTTGAGCTCTTAATGGAGAAAGGCACCAGGTTGTATTAGGAGACTTCATCCACACATCCCCTGAGGGCCCCCGAGGGCCCGCTGAGGGTGCCCATACAAAGTGGAATACAAAAGGAGGCAGGAGTATTTCATTTAACTTTATTTCTCAACATTGGTACATTCGCTGGAGCGCATTTTGTGATTTTTTCCTTATTTTTCAAACTGACCTCAGGTGCTCTTGCCGTTTGTTGTACTATATATTCTTTTTCTGTTGCCATGGTAGCATAACTTTATGAGGTTAAAACAAATGTGTGTATAGTCTCTTCAGAAAGGACCAGAACCACCACAGAGAAAGGTTGATTTTGTTTCTGTTGAATCTTGTCTGTGTTGACTCAGTCATTTGTTATGGATCATTATCCTGCTGAAAAACACAAGGATGACCCAAATCCTCTGGTATTATAAAGAATTCATGGCGCCATGCAGTCTAAATATTCATCCCATCCTTCATGTCAGACTCACCTGCATGTTCTTTTTTTTCTTTTGCTGTAAAAAGGTCAACTATAATTTGCAATCATACTTAAGCACATGGTTCTAATTAAATATCAAGGGTATGCTCTAACAATAATGGTAGGGGAAAAAAGGCTTCTCTCAGTATGTTTTCTGTTTTATTTACATCCCTAAATGTGCATCACCTCCTGATCCAAACATCCACTAAAAAGCAAACCTCTCTCTTTTTCTGTTATATTTTGTTGCAGGAAGCAAAACAGTAGCTGAGCAGAGAGCAGGAAAGTGTTATCAGCGCCTCTTTGTTCAATGTTGTTTCCTTGGTGCAAGTTGCAGCTGAATGTGGCTAAAAGTAGCTAAATCAGACGGTCAGCCTGCCTGCTAATGGAAAAACAGCAGGATGTTCATTCCGACACAAACAGGGCTTCTTTAGACAGATTAACATAAAGAAAGGCTGCTCTGCTCGTGGCTTTCAGACTTCTAAAGCTACCCTTTAAGAACATATTTAGTGTGTTACAGCTGCAGTCAGAGTGCTTTTCTGTTAATAAATCTCTATTCCTCCTTAGATCTCTGGTATTAGCAGCATCCAGACAGCTGTATTCAGATGGAGCCATGAAAGTAGGACGGAAGGAGGCTTTTCAGTGGTAATGTGCGGGTCTGCAGGCCGTTCATGGCTAATTAAGTCCATGCAGTGGCCGCATCCATCAGCAGCCTGCAGGCTGACAAACACTGCTGCTGGGTTTGTGTGGAGATCTGTGGGTCAGGGCTCCTTCCTGTTTGCAGCTTTTCCTTTTTAATACACACAAAAAAAAAAGCTTCTAGTGTACAGAGGGTGTCCTGGCTGTTTGATCAGAGGAGGGAGAAGAAGCTGCTGATATATTTCTCAGCGTTTGTAGCTGTGCTCAGGTTCCTCACCCTCATACATTTTACAATAGAAGCAGAGATTTGAAATGCACATAATTCCCCACTTTTGGATCGGGGGCAGAACTAAAGAAGTCGATGGAGCGTGGCACTATCCGTCGCCTAGAAGAACGTCTAGCCCCCAAATCCCCAGAGCGGGTCCTGGTTGTCACCACCGACCAAGGACCGACTCTTTATCCTACCCCCCCAGCCTGCAGGAGCAGGACATCTATAAATCATCCTATGCTTGGACGCCTGTAGGATCCCTTTAACTGCTTCAGCACCTAACACATTTAATGGAATGCTCAACTGTAATGCTTTTAGTACAGCACAAAAAGGATGACTTCTTTTAAACAGGAGGAAAATGTCCTTTTCTAATATATCCTTACGATTTATAAGCCTTGTTAGGTTTATTAAACTGACTTCAAACTATAACAAAACACAGATTCTTAATATCTACACCTAAGCTTGCTGCTTACAGAAACTCTTTGAAACACATTTTTAGGATGCAGCTTTGGTCTGAGTGAATTATTAATTATGAATAATAATTAAATGTGGAGGTGATGTAATGTAGAACTCATTTTAGATGAAAAAACTAAGATGATAAAAATAACACATTTTGCATGACACGTTGCATGAAATATTGTGTTAAAGATTAACAACATTTAATTAGTAATCAATGGTTTTAACCTGGAATTACTAAGAATCTCCAGCAATATTAAAGTAAGGTATCAACTTAGAACTCCTATTTTCTTTCTTGGTGTTTTTGAAATTATTTAATTCCAACTCTGATAGCTAAAAATTCCAAGACCACCAGGGATTAAAACCCAAATAGCCACCCCATGCCTATTGTTCCCTACCAGGAAGGAAAACTGTCATGTAACCATACAGAGCTCGTGCCGCACTGCGCCGCGCAGCGCAAAGCCTCAAGTTATGGTACACCAAGGTGTACACCGTAAGAAATATTCCTAGCTAAAAGCCCGGTCTGGAGAATCAGTTT